AAAAAAAAAAAAAAAAAATAATGTCTTCTTTTGTTTCAGAAACAGTTTTTGGAAAAAATTATTGTTCCGTTTCTTGGAATATTAAATTTTGTTTTCAACCTCTCTGGAACCTAGCATTTCATCATTCAAACAACACAGTATGAAGATGGAATCTCCACAGTGTTTGTTCGTACTTTTGCATTCGGATTTTGACGTTGAACCTTCGAATTAATCGTAAGCTTCTATTTAATTCTTGTTATATAAAGTTAGTTGATTGTCGTTTGGGTTCGAAGTTAGCGCCATGTTGTTTATTGTGCAGAAAACTGGTTTCTTGACAAGAAACACAAGAAACCAGTTTCTTGGTCAAGAAACCAGTTTCTTGACAAGAAACCAGTTTCTCCGCGATGAATAAACGTGTTGAGATCGCTATGAGGAACTTAATTCTTGCTAGTTAGTTGATTGTCGTTCGGGTTCAAAGTTAACGCCATGTTGTTTCTTGTGCAGAAAACAGGTTTATTGCTCAAGAAACTGGTTTCTTGTCAAGAAACTGGTTTCTTGGTCCACAAACCAGTTTCTTGACAAGAAACCAGTTTCTTGGTCAAGAACCAGTTTCTTTAATATGAATAAACGTGTTGAGATCGCTATGAGAAACTTAATTCTTGCAATATAAAGTTAGTTGATTGTCGTTCGGGTTCGAAGTTAGCGCCATGTTGTTTCTTGTGCAGAAAACTGATTTCTTGTCAAGAAACTGGTTTCTTGACAAGAAACCAGTTTCTTAACAAGAAACCAGTTTCTTGGTCAAGAAACCAGTTTCTTGACAAGAAACCAGTTTCTCCGCGATGAATAAACGTGTTGAGATCGCTATGAGGAACTTAATTCTTGCTATATAAAGTTAGTTGATTGTCGTTCGGGTTTGAAGTTAGCGCCATGTTGTTTCTTGTGCAGAAAACTGGTTTCTTGCTCAAGAAACTGGTTTCTTGTCAAGAAACCAGTTTCTTGGTCAAGAAACCGGTTTCTTGGTCAAGAAACCAATTTCTTTAATATGAATAAACGTGTTGAGATCGCTATGAGGAACTTAATTCTTGCTATATAAAGTTAGTTGATTGTCGTTCGGGTTCGAAGTTAGCGTCATGTTGTTTCTTGTGCAGAAACATGATTTCTTGCTCAAGAAACTAGTTTCTTGAACAAGAAACTGGTTTCTTGACAAGAAACTGGTTTCTTGACAAAAACCAGTTTCTTGTTAAGAAACCAGTTTCTTTGTCAAGAAACCAGTTTCTTGTCAAGAAACCAGTTTCTTGTTCAAGAAACCACCAAGAAACTGGTATTTTGCGACATGCTTCCACGGCCGCGGCTAAAAAACTCTCCGCGGCCGCGACATGTTTCCGCGGCCGCGATAATCCTCCGAGGCCGCGAGATGTTTTATGCTGAACTCATGTTGGGTCCCAAATTTTCTCGCCGCGGCCGCGGCTACATATATCCCCGCTGCCGCGACCATCTTTTTTTTTCAATTTTTAATTTTACAAATTTGAAATTTCACTTCAATTTTCATTCATCTTAAAAACAACTACAACGTACATAACAAAATTACACACATAAATATTGCTCTTTTCACTTGTTAGACATTAATCACACACAAATCAATCATCTCACCAAGACTATCCACCAGTGCCTACGAATCATACATTATGAACCCGAAACCTTTGGGCCTTTGCGTGTTGTGTGTGTACATCACGACCACATCAGTTATGGTCTCGAATTGGCTGGAATATTTCTTGAAGTCGCTTTTAGTGATTGTGGACATGAGGCCCCCAACGAAAATCTTTTGGGGCGAGTCGGGCTATGGGTCTCGTGCATGCTGCCGTTGTTTCTGTTGCGGGTTTTGTGGTGGTCCCTGTCAAGAGAATGATTGAAAATAGTAGCATAAACCTTACAATCTAACATATAGAATCTTCCCAAGAATCAACCTTTATTCACCTCTTCTAAATCTGGAATCAACCCAAGAATCTTCCAAGGGCTGCCCAAATCAATCTCAGCTGCTCAGAACAAAATTCTCACAGCCACAGTATATAACTCGAGTTGCGTGATAGGGAGAAAAAGTACCTTTTCACATCGGAGGAAGAAAAGACGGTTCTCCTTTGGGAGGATGGTATCTGGACTTTTGCAGCCATTGCATATGGCATATTCATCTGCAGACACAAATAGGAAGCAAATATTGTAAGGCACAATAGTTTACAATACTTGAAGACCAAGTGCAACACAAAGTACTTAAATTACGATATAATTTTACAAGTATCAGTGACCTATAATCCCAAACACCGTGTAATGAATTGATAGACAGCCATATAGTTTAGAGGAAAAGGCTTACTGATATAGCGTCGCAGAATACCCTCAAAGTTCTTGGGAGCAAACCTCCCTTTCACGACCAATCTTTGTTGTCCATCGAGAGACCCACTTGTTCCCATTTCAGCCAGCAAAAAAATCATGACGTGCCACAAAAACAGAAATCAAAAGGAGAAGGAACAAATCAGTATATACACATCAGGATTTCACTAACGTACGTCACAAGGTGCAAACATGAAAAATACCACATAATACAAATATCTAAAAGAGAGTAGAGAAAGAAATAAAAAAGAAGAAGAAAATTGGCGAATCTAAACCATCCATATCATAATCCACACGAGCCGTTCTTGCAGCAATATTGGCATGCTTTTGCGAGTCTGCAACCTAGAGAATATCTCGCCAAGTTACAAATTTACTAGTACAATTCTATAAAACTCAATTGTAAGTTTAAAGTCTGGCTACAATCATTGGGAAGAACAGTGAAAATACCACAAATGCAAGGACATCGCCACACACATAGACACACAGGTGCCGGAATAAACACACATAGACAAATAGAAATTAACCTACAAAACCACGAAAAAAAGATACATAAAATCAGCACTCAATCGAAAGAGGCTCACATTAGCCCACAAAACCACGAAAAAATTCAAGAAACTTTCATTAAACCTAAAATCAGAACTCACAACTCAATCCAAACATACACAACCTAACACCTCATACATATGAAAATACCTCTAAACAAATATTAGCTATTATGTATAACCCTCAAAAAAATTGAAAATACACAAAATCGCAACACACACAAAAATTGAAAATAGCACACAAAATCGCAACACACAAAAAACACATTTTAATACCCTAAAATGCACATTTTAATACCCTAAAAACCCCAACACAAAAATAATACAAATTGAAAATAATACCCTAAAAATGCACAACCCTAAAAATCGCCTAAGTAACACACAGAAAAATTACAGAAAAGCTCACAAAATCGCCGGAGAAATCCCAAAAATCGCAACACAAAAATCCTAAAAATCGTAACACAGTTTAACTAAAAGAATCCTAAAAAT